AGCTGGTTTTGTACCACCTTCTTGATTTGTTCCACCAAGCGTAAATCCTCGGCGGTCTTGGTGTCCGTGGTCATATTTAGAATTATCAGGCTTTGGATCAAGCAAAGAAGAAACAGTGCTTTTGGTAGCCTTTGACTGTAATTCACTTCCAAGTCCCCCTGACGTTACGGAGCCAAAGGACAATGGAAATCCTGAGGTTAGAGTCGGTGTTTTCTTTGAATCCCCGAAGCTAAAAGCTGGTTTTGTACCACTTTCTTGGTTTGTTCCACCAAGCGTAAATCCTCGGCGATCTTGGCGTTCGTGGTCATGTTTAGAATTACCATGCTTTGGATCAAGCAAAGAAGAAACAGTGCTTTTGGTAGCCTTTGACTGTTGTTCACTTCCAAGTCCCCCTGACGTTACGGAGCCAAAGGACAATGGAAATCCTGAGTTTAAAGAAGGTGTTTGCTTTGAATCCCCGAAACTAAAAGCTGGTTTTGTACCACCTTCTTGGTTTGTTCCACCGGAGCCAAACGTAAAGCGTCCACCAGAGGATGAAGCTTCAGATCCAAATGCAAACAACGATTTGGTTCCTTCCTTTTGGCCTTGACTTGGTTCTGCTCCTCCAAGTTGACCAAGCTGAAAGCTAGCAGAAGGTTGTTGCCTACGCAATTTCTGTTCGGAAATTCGTAAATTGGAGTTAGGCGTACGAAATGAAAGTGGAGGATAAATTTGACCTTGCAAAGCATGCTCTGAAACATTTTGTGGCAAGTGATGTGATGCTCCGGTCATGCTTGACGAGCCAAAAGTGAAGGCGGGGGAGTTTGATTTGTCAGCGTTAGCAGGGACTCCAAAGGGCGCCAACACAAACGATTGAGCCGTTGTAGGCTTTGTGCCTGCTGGCACTGTAAAGGTACTTTTATCGGAACCCGATGCCGTGTTACGAGCTATTCCTGCTGATGATTTACCAAACGCAAAAGAGGAACCATTTGAACTGGAGTTCTCCGTTCCAGTAACACCTTCTCCGAGTGAAAAGCTGAATGGCACATTTCTCGATGCTGTATTAAGCGTTTCCGATGTTCTTAAGTCCGGAGGCTTGCTCTCTGGTTTTGATAAGGATGGACCCTTCTCTGGTTTTGATACAGCCGCCTGTGTACCAATGTCGAAAGTTTCTTTGAATTTAGCAGCAACCTGACTAGTTCTAAACCTCGCAGCTAAAGTCTCTGCTTTGGCTTCTTCTTCTGAGAAATCCGCAAGTGTTGTCCACAGCCATGCCTTATCAGAGTTTGGGAAAGGCTTCAGCACCATATCCGTAGAAATCATGTGATTAGCACAGAGTTTCAAGACATGTTCACGCCTCATTAAAATCCTGTTTTTATTAGAGTTTGAGTCACGAAGTATCTTGATCTCACCAACACCTCTTTCTTTCCACTGCGATGCACCTCCGTCATACCTAAACAATTTGCAACGTTCACAAAAAAGTACCTCTTGGCCTTCTTCTCCTGTTCGGCATTCCACCTTATCAGGAAGTGGTATCAGTGGCTCAAAGTACGGGCCATCATCTTCTCCACGGCTAGGACTCTCAGGATATGACGGTGTCGGAGACGATGATGGTGATTTAGGTTTACGAGATGGAGACCCAGGTGAAACTGTCAAACTGAAAGTGAACTTCACAGGTGTTGTTGAGCCAAACGGAAGACTACTGAATAAGTAACTCTGTCCGGGAGACGTTGAGGGCTTTTGCGGCAAGATAATTCCTTGCTGACTGGGAGAAGATGTCTTGCTTGGAGACAGGTCAATTTTATCTTCTTTTTCTTCATTTGGATCTCCCCGTCCGATGGTAAAAAGTTTCGAGCTAGCCAGTGCCGAGCCACCAGCAACACCTTCTCCGAGTGAAAAGCTGAATGGCACATTTCTCGATGCTGTATTTAGCGTTTCAAATGTTCTTGAGTCCGGAGGCTTGCTCTCTGGTTTTGATAAGGATGGACCCTTCTCTGGTTTTGATACAGCCGCCTGTGTACCAATGTCGAAAGTTTCTTTGAATTTAGCAGCAACCTGACTAGTTCTAAACCTCGCAGCTAAAGTCTCTGCTTTGGCTTCTTCTTCTGAGAAATCCGCAAGTGTTGTCCACAGCCATGCCTTATCAGAGTTTGGGAAAGGCTTCAGCACCATATCCGTAGAAATCATGTGATTAGCACAGAGTTTCAAGACATGTTCACGCCTCATTAAAATCCTGTTTTTATTAGAGTTTGAGTCACAAAGTATCTTGATCTCACCAACACCTCTTTCTTTCCACTGTGATGCACCTCCGTCATACCTAAACAATTTGCAACGTTCACAAAAAAGTACCTCTTGGCCTTCTTCTCCTGTTCGGCATTCCACCTTATCAGGAAGTGGTATCAGTGGCTCAAAGTACGGGCCATCATCTTCTCCACGGCTGGGACTCTCAGGATATGACGGTGTCGGAGGCGATGATGGTGATTTAGGTTTACGAGATGGAGACCCAGGTGAAACTGTCAAACT